ATCCAATTTCATTGAACATTTTCTCAAAATGTAATATTTATTGTTTTCAGGTGGTCTCAAGTTTTGCTGATAATTGTGATATTTAAACAAATATAAGTGTGATATAAAATACAATGAATCTTGAGAAAAATATTAAATTTAAAGCATATGTAAATGATTAATCCCACTGAAAAATAGATGCAGCATGTGTAGAAAATGATTTACTATATCACTACTAAATATTATTGGTAAAGTGAAAATAAAACCATTTTCCTGACAGGAGCTTCTGTAAGCAAGGATTATTGTGACAGGTATTCAGCATTTGTTGTTCTTTGCTCTGGTCACCATTTGTAAAGGATATTAATTTCTAACATATCCTGATCCTTGAAATTAATTAAAACACAAAACTTCCTAATATGTTAACAAATGATATGAACTAAATTAACTGATTCACTTCTATACTTAATAAAATAACATTTAAAACATTTTCAAATTTTGCTTACATATGCTGTCCCAGAAGAAAGGAAAGAAAATTCAAGATAAATTAATATTTAAAATTTAATTTAAGCAATGCAGTGCATAAAGATATATTCTATAAATATATTTCTACGATTTAAAATATAAAAAAAATCAATAGAAAATTTTTAGGTATAAATTTAGCAAATCAATAAAAATAATTTGTCTTCCACTTTATGTCAAGTCTGTTACCTTGAGATTATTTTACCCCTAATTAGTTTGTAAATCTGCCTAAAAAGGGCAGTACATATTCAAAATAGTGAAACTTAGCTTGACTAGTTTATGTCATGGAATATATACTGCAACTTTTAGGCAGATATATTTTAAATATTTCCTTCAGCAGAAATACTGGGTCATCCAGAAAGTTCTGTGTTTTTTTATAATAAATACAAAAGACGCTGTATAAAAACAAGAAAATTTCATTGGATCAGATAAGCACAATTTTTTCTACAACTTTTGGCCATCTCTTCAGGAACTGAAAATTTCCTTTTCTGAAAAACGAGTGATCTTTTTAGGTTTATTCATAACGAATTGCAGGTGCTGCTGTTAGTTACTGAGGTAATGTTTGAGAATCTCCAAAGAAGTGGACTTCAGGTTGTTTACAGAATTTTGAAGAGAACCAAAGAAATGAAAATCTGAGAGTACAAGGTCTAATGAATAATGATTGTGATATAAAATATCCCAGCCATACTTAACAAGTCTTTGTCAGATATTCATCAAAATGTTGAACCAAGCATTGTCTTAACAGAAAATGACAACACCTCCACAAGTGATCATTTGTCAGAGCTCTGCTTTGATTTTTACTTTTAAAACTGCTATTTAGAAAGAATATTTTTCCAGATTTACTGACCAATTTAATGGCAACGATGCATAGAATACAATCCTTTGTAGTCTCACAATATAAATTTTGGGAGATGCAATCCCCTCTAGATGTTACTAAAGGAGGTTCTTCTAACTCACTCCTTTATCTTTTTTTCTTTTTGCATAATATTATTATCTGTATAGTATTATTATATTTCTGCTCTAGTAAAGTATGTGATATCTATACATCATAGCAGCTTACATATCTAGTTGTCTTCAAGTGATCCTATACTGTATTTACTGGAATATTTAGTTAGTTTGATAGTTCTCGAACTGCATAAGGTGGCTTTTCAGCAATAGCTTCTTTTAATATGTCCTTGCCTACAAAAGATGGTCCTCCAGAGTGGGTATCATCTTCAAAGCAGAAATTTCCTAGCTTAAATTTCTCAAACCACTTTCAAACTGGGTAATCAGGAGCAGTACTTTGTTCATATATAGCATCAGTTTTACAGAACAGTTAGACTAGCATTTTTTCCTTTTTTAAAAAAATAAAGTAAAACAGCATATTATGATCTTTTGGGTTCTCCATTGACAGCATTACACCAAGGCTGATTCTAGCGGAGGTGCAGTTGGTAAAAGTACGAGGGCGACGAAATTCGGGGGGGGGGGGTTGGCTCTCGCAATACCATGACTAAATACTTTTAATTCATTGTAAGTACTTGTCATATGTAAGTACTTAGTGAATATGAAATAATTTTATTAATCACTAAACTTTTCTTTTTAATTTCGGGGGCAGCAATCCTAGAAAAGTACACAGTCAGGCCAATCCTAGGGGCAGTAATTCTAGGAAAATACATATGCAGCCAATGGCCTAGGAACGGCCCTGCATTACACTGAAACAAAAATTGTGACAACGCATGTTAGAATTATGTAACATAAGCAGAAAAGTCCATATTTTAAGCATCCATTTCAATCAAGGACACTCCTTATAAAAAATAACTAGAAGAAAATGTATCTTGAGTTGAAAAACTGCAGAACTCTCCATATGACCCAATTCTGTGAAATAACAACCGAGAAAACACTGCCTAGGATTACAGAGTTGGTTATCGAAACTTTGCCAAACTATCATAGTCTAAGAATTGACTGAAAAATTTGTCCGTGCTTTTACAACATGGTAATATCAACCTAAATTTTGGAATCCAATATTTCTTGCTCCAAAACCAAATATTTTACATATATACATATAAGTACACATTAATGAATACTTAAGAAAAGCAATAAATATTTTGACAAATCAAAACAACCAAGCAATATTTCATTAACTTAAAAAATACAGCTACTTGCTAAACTATAATCAAAACCCAGTACTCCTTTTCCGAAATCTTAATTACCGATATATCTCAAAAGGGCTAAATATTTTTATTTATCATCCCAATAATCCCAGCTACTGTCTCTTTTGCATAATTAAAACATCATTAAAATATTTACCTTTCCACTCTTTCATGCAGATACACAGAATAATAAAATTGCATGGTGGAAAATAAGTTAACAGTTTCTATTCCACTAATTTTAATACTTGCAAACATTGCTTACCAAATGGTTACTGTGTTTGCCTGTTCCAGAGATGATATAAAAATACAGTCAATATTCTTTCCTTTCCCTTCAAAGGAACTTATTTATTATCTTGCCTTCTGGTGATATATATATCTGATTTAAGATTCTTCATGTACCAATTTTAATTTTGTAGTGGAGCTTCACGAAATCTGGCACTTCAACCCATACCGTTGTTTGTAAGTTTCAGCATAACTTACACAATGTACTTGCAAATATATATTTCTGTTCACAGCGTTGATGAGAAAATCGCAACTTTGAATACTACTATTTTCAATTTAACATTTTACAGTGCACAAGCATATATATGTACGTCTATGCCATGTATTGTAGATGTTTAAGGGCAGTGCTAATCCCCCTTGGTAAGTCAACATTCTTCTGAGAAATCAGTAGTAATTTACTTATTTTTTTATACATGTACTCTTCTACCTTATTTTTTATGTATGTACTATTCTTTTTATTTTAAAATGTACATTTCCGATGCACAAAAATATACGCATTAAACTTTAAAGTTTATTACAAGTTTTTAACAATTTTATCGCAGTCCTTTTAAGTTTTAACATTTCCTAATTTCGATTAGCAATAATTTACACTTTCATTCCTAGGAAATAATCAGAAAAATAAAATTAATAACTGAATATAATACATATATATTAATTGAGAATAATTCCGATTAATTTATGCGATATGAGTTCGATTCCCACCACGCAGACAGGGTGCATATTTTCCTTTTTCCTTGCATAACCAAAATATAAACCAAATTTCTCTTACAAAGTCCTCTCGAATACATCCTTTCCCTTACGCAGACAGCCATAGCATGCTTTGTTGTATTTGATTAACCAAAACTCATTTAAATGTTATACACCTTTTATATGAACATGGCAAGTGATATATGCAGTAGAATAAATAAGATAATTATAAATAAAATAGCCTATATGCAATAGCTTAAAACTTTAAAAAAATAATAAATAATACAGAAAGGCATCATATGCCCAAAAAAAATCTTGAATGAAACCAATCATTTACATAAGATAAACAAAATTAATTACATTTGTCATGTAATCATTTACATTGATAAACAAAATTAATCAATGTTTTAAAATTATACATAATAATTAATATATCTGAGATTCAACTTAAGATAATCATGCACTGAAATTTCCACTAAAAAATAAAACTCTTTTACAAATTTTCATAAATTTATTAAATAAATTCACAAAACAATCTGCTTCTCAAAATGTCATTAGTATATGCAAGACACTGATGAATATCCTTATAGCTATTTGTTGCCCCACTGACTAAACTCATTTAAAGCTGCAGAATTATTACAAAATAGAACTATTCCTACGTTTCTAAAATTTTCTTTGAAACAACACTAATTTTTTTTTTCCTACCAAACTAAGATAGCTTTAAAATTTTTTGTCTGTGATTTACAATTAGAAAACTATTTCTTGCCTCATTTAGTGGATGCATTAACATACTGTTATGAAACTATGTACTATGAATTTAAATACTTAACATACACTCTTAGTATTACATATGCAGTTGGGATTTCATCTTTCATATGACATCAAAACTGGTAAAAAATCTCACACAGTGCTGTTATAAGATACACACAAAACGTATCTCAAACACACAATAAATAATTGAAAAAACGATCCGTAAACAATCATGCAAATAATTTCAAATTACGCATAATGAACGATAAAGCATGAAGGCTTCTAATCAGCTAATTCAATAATGTTAGAGTTTTATCTACTTTGCAGAATCGAAAATGCTTGCACAATGGTGTTGTTTCGCAGAAATGACCAATGCAAGGTAATTTCTCATTTTACTTTTAACGATGGAAAGCATTTCAACTTCAAAAATTATACAACTGGTTTTCCAGAATAAATAATGAAAGAAAACGAAAAAACATTCATTAAAACTTTTGCTATCATCTCTTGCATCAGCGCGGATCATTTTCCTAAAACCGGCCTTTATTTTGTTTTAGACATGAAGTAATATTAATTCTCATTATACAATTAGAACAACTAATTTTTAAAATATGATATGAACAGAATGAAGCATTGGGGGGAAAAAAGTTCACGCACCTTCCAATAATCTCGCAGAGATCATACACATCATCGAATAAAATTTCTGCCATAGCCTTTAATAGTTCAATAAATTCAGTCAATTTCCGTGCCCGTTGCGTCTAAAGATATTTTATTTTCGGAGTACATTGAACATTTTCCATCTTGCTGTACACACTTTACAGTTTTCGGTGTACACTCTAAAATCTGAAAATTATCTACATTTTTCACACTACCAAGCGAAAGCAGAAAACCTAAAATTCCTCAATTCTTGAAAACCTTTTACTCCAAATTCATGGAAATATAGCAATTTTCAGCGCATAACAACAACGATGTGAGAGAAAATTTATCGGTACTTTCCAATACTAGAGTCACACATTCCCACCAAATCCGGATTTGAACTCTCGACCACCACTTTCGGCTCTCACTAGATGGCAATTAAATTTAGGCTGACCCACATTTTGAACAAAACAGTGCTGATCTCTCGACACTTTCCCTTAACTTTACACCTTTACTAAATCCATTCTGTGTCCATGCTGTGTTATGCCTGTCCAGTTTGAGTTTATTCTTGCGAAACAAACAGAAAACAATTGCAAACTGACCAGAATAGTGTATTGAGGCAAATAACAGATTCCCTCCTGGTATATTCGTTACAAAAAGATATATGAATTACTAAAAACTACACTGCTAAGAGCTTATTATTATCAATTAGCTAAACATTTCCACGAAAGGCAAGCGTGTATCAACAATTCAGAAATTAAATTCTGTAACTATGATTTTAATAATTCCAATAATATCAAAAGGTAAATGGCTATCTGATGCCCAAATAATTGTGTAAAATATGTATACATATATATGTTGTGTTAAATTATTATTCTGTACTTTTCTGTGTGATCTGTATATAATGTATTTACGGCATTATTTGATCTGTACTTACCTTATTATTACTTAGTAACCATTTCGATGTCTCTGTTCAAAGAACATGCAAGTTTTTTAACTTGCATTTTATATGCGTATTAAGTTAATTAATACAAAAATTATTAATTGGTTTCTTCTTGGGGTAGGACCTAAAGACCAGGCATCCTATTGTCTAACGCCGTTTCGATCAGTCGACACTGTCTTGCTGTCCCATAGTTTTGAAGAAAATGTATAAATATGTCTTACTAGGCGATCTTATATTATTTTTCCTAACCTGTAATCGGATAATCACTGTATTTACCTGGTAATACAGCTCTGTATTTCAAAGTAATTACAGAGCTGGATTTTTCGATACAGATTGAGATTTGCAGTATTCAAAGAATTATAAATGTGAGGCATCTATGGAGTAAAGGAACCAGGTCCAACTCCTAAAGGCCATCGATTTTTCAAAACTTTATGGGGTCTAGTCTGGACACCGGTCGAGTTCGATGTCGGAAGACCAGTCGGGATTCCCTTTTCACTCGACAGCAGACGGGAGAGCGAGTCTGAACCGTTAAAATTCCCGTCGGCGGAAAATGAAGTGGAAATTCCGCGTGGAAGTGACGTTATTGCATAGCAACCAGTCAATAGAAGGTGTTGGTCTCACCCAAGGTCTATTCTAACCTCCTTGGTCTCACCTGTACTAAAGCTATTAGAGATACAGGCTGACTAGTCAGCCATTTTGAAGCTAAGTTTTAGGGTTGCAATTTAGGTTTTGGGCGCCAACTTTGGCTCTTTAGTGCTGTTCGGTAAAACTTTATTATTTAACATTCTAGAGAATCCGAATTTCAGCTTTTTTCTGCACTAATATCAAGATATGTGGCTTTTCCCTCTTCTTTTGTCTGCAGTTCAGATTCTTTCTCGTATTTTTTTTTTTTTTTTTTTAATTGCCAAATTTCTCGTATGATTCAAGTTATTTTAAAAGTTTCTAAAACATTTTCACATATGATATTTCAAATTTGTATTTTTAGTTAAAAATACTTTCTTTTCAATTCCTTTATTGAATTTTCAATTTTTACTTTTAAATACACGCATAATGTTAGGCATCTCAAAATGTATTTTTTGACAAGAGATTTCCCTCAACCATATTCTTAATTTTGGATGAGGTTATGCTAGTTTTGAAATCACATTTTCATACTTATTTAACTATTTTTCTTTTAGAATTCAATGTAATTTCATGTGTTATATAAAAATTATAAGCCTCTCAGTACTGTATTTGTATGATAATTCTTAATTTCTCAGCTATGACATTTCAGTATTGATGGCGTTAAGCATATTACTTTTACTTACGTTACACATTAAAATATTTAGAGGACATTAAAGCTATGGGTACAAATTGGTATGAATACAGCTTCAGTAATTTTTTAATTTCTAAAGCTTTTCTGAATCAACAGATACTTTTTTAAAACTGTAAACAAATTTTACATGATAAATACATAAGTGCATGCTTATGATTTAATATATCAAGCCAGTTCAGATTTTAAACCTCTGAAAAATTTAATAACTTGTTTGCATGATTCTTTTTTTAATATTTAATCTAATTCTTGTTTTTTATTTTTAATATGTTATTTAAAGTTTGCTCACATGGAATCAAACGTTTATTACTGTTAAAAACTTTTGTGTGTGTGTGTGTGTGTGTTTCCAGAAAAGACTGCATAAAACTTTATGATTTTAAATACTGATTCAGGATATACACCTTTAAATTATAATGTTTTTAGAATGAAGTGCAGAATGCTATAAAAACTACTTCAATGCTCAGATGACTGTGGGATTCTATATTTAAAAAATCAGTTTTTATATAGATTTAGTAGAGTAAAAATTCCCTCCAAAATTTTTTTTTATTTAGCTAAAAACAATATTAAAAAGATACACACACATATAAATAATAGTCCTTTATAGTAGCCTTAACCTGTACTAAGGCTCTTATTGTAGCTCTAACCTGTACATTGCTCGAGGCTCAGGGGAAGGGGGTAGTTTGTTGTCAAAAATGCTGTTTCGCACGTGCTTATCAATGAGAAGGGAATAGCGGGAAATACATTATAATTTAAAACATAAAATTTATAAATTACTCATCAAACCATGAAATGAAGTACATTAATATATATATTAGTTTAAAAATTACAATTTTAAATTAAAAGTAAGCACGCCTTTTTTATATGTGAATAAGGAAAAAAAAACCAAATACAGTCAAAAGTCTTTAATCCGGACTCGTCGGGACTTCGGCGATTCCGGATTATCGATTTTTCCGGATTATAGATAATCAGTTTAAATCTGGTAAGATGGCATGCAGAAATTATAAAATTAAAAATATGAAACCGTAATTTATAAAATAATGAGCAATTATGATCTAAAGGGTATCAAAATTTACAAAAAAAAAAAAAGAAGAAGAAGCTTAATATTTATTTGTTTACTTTATTAAACATTTCTTTCAACGCGCGCATGCGTAAAGCATACCTTACGCATAGCCGAAATTAGAAAATTGCTACCAGAAAACTATTTGATTTGTATTCGCGATACTTATAATGACGAGGAATTTGATTTAAATCATATCAAAGACGGAGTACATCGAGATTAAATACTACATTTAGTAAGGAATTATAAGCCGAATAATATAAAAACATCTGCCCTGAAGATAACGATAGTGCTGACAGATCAACTTCCAGTTCATTGCGCGCCGCGACGTCCCTCCCCCGCGCAGAGCAGCGTGAAATTGATAAACAGATTTCGGAACGGTTAGATAGACAAAGGATATACCTTTATCAATTTTTTGTAGCATTTCGTTTTTTTGTTTGATGGACATTGAAATATACTTTCGTTTTCTAGATACTTTGGGAGCTCCAGCATCGGAAATTCTATTTGACATAATCGAAAGTTCAAGCTTACTTTTATGAAATTGCTCTTACAGTCTGCAAAAAATAATAAGCCGGATCCAATTCGAAGATCAAGGAACAACGCAATCATCAACATTAACTGAAATAGATAATTAGATAATTTTAGCTTATACCGTCCGTTATACATTAAACGCGCACGCAAAAACGTATTCTGCGCTTGCGCAGACGCATATGTGCAGTCGTAAATGTCTTGCGCACACGCGTAAAACGCCTATGAGCATGCGTCAACGCGGCGCATGCGCAGAAATATTTTTATATTTGAGGTCCGGATTATAGATCATTCCGGATTATGGGTGTCCGAATTAACGACTTTTGACTGTATATTATTTTCACTAAAATTAAAATAAAGAATTGCATATCTGACAGATTAATAGCCAGAAGCTTATATCATACAGATATGAAATCAAGCGAATTATTCCTTACCTTTAATTCAGAAGTTATTGCTGTCTTTTATGTGGATCCTCCGATAAAGTACGGCCTTAATTTATTTATAAGGGTCCATGCTATAGGTTTGGTAAGTCGAAATAGTCCAATAAAATCAGAATCGTCAGCATTAAATGCGTTATTTCTATCGCGAAACACTCGAGGTTTTCGTAAATTTTAAGAAACTAAAATATCCATTACGTACACTTCCAAAAACTGTCCGTAACCTCCGCTTTCTTCAGATTAGCTCTAAAAACGACAGTCAGAAACTTTAACGTCAGCTACCCAGCTGACGGAAAAATTTCGATCGCTGTAATGATCGAGACGATAACACCAGACACTCTAAGACACCAGACCTTCTATATGTAAGGCTATATAGTGAATTATTAATATATTTAATTTCAATAGGGTGAATGATCGCTTAGAGCGTCGAATATGTTGGAGACCGACCTGGAGGTAGTTTCTTCTATCTGATAAATAAGCATAATATATTTTCTGAAATATATGCGATTCAATTCGTCTACAGGTGGCTCTTTCACACAACAGCGTGTCGGATAAGGAACGGTATTGTGATCTGAACATAGGCCTCTGAAAATGGTGTTTCTAAGTTTTCCTGAGACTTTTGATTTCATTCAAGAAGGTTTAAATTCTTTTTGTATTACTGAAGCAAAAATATCTTTAACTGTTTGAAGGGCGGTGGGTTACCTACAGAAACCACCTTTCCTATTGAACCTATTACTCACTTTTTGTTGTTTGACTTCTGAACTATTATTAATGTTATATATTTATAATAACCACTTTCATAATTACTCTCACTTAAGGGGGAAAAATGATGAAATCTTAAATAATCGTAACTTAGAATTTAAGTTATTTAAAAAATATAGTTTAAAGTACTGAAAATAATTAAAGCTATTATTAATTATGCATATTTAGTCTAACGAGAAAAAATTGTATTATTTTCTGGTTTTAAAGAAATGATAAATTATTTAAACTTAATACATAATAAGAAAAATACAAGGAATACAAAAATTTTAAAATAGGAGAAAAATGTATTAATTATCAAGCTATTTTTCTGCATAAATCAATATGTAACACAAGGACATAATAACAACATTTTCACAACTGTTGCAAAAAGGTGGAATTTTGTGAACATTTAGGCGTCTTTAAGACATCGTGATACGATGCTTTCACAACCAAAATATCACCTGCGAAAGACGCAATAACGACGCCTATGCGACAAAAACCTCATCTGCAAAGATGTAATAAAGACGTTTTTGCAACGGTTGCAAAACAGTGGATGTTCGCGGACATATGGGCGTCTTAAAGACGACATTTTGCAACGACATACGCGACGAGTTTGCAACGTCGTTACGACGTTGCTGTGCAACTCGGGAAGTGGAATTGTAATTCCAGCCGATGCCCCAAATAAGACAAAGTCCGATATTTTTCCCCCAATTAACTATTTAAAAT